GGGGCGGGGGCTTGGACCCCCGGCTCCAGCCGCCACCGGAAACGCGCCGTGGTCGGCGAGACCCACAGGAAGTGTGTAACGACACCTCCTACGACACGCACCGAACTCGCAGTCATCGCTGCCTGGAGGAGGTGTGCACTACCCTCCTACTACACAGACACACGCACACGCATCCCTCTGCGCGCTGGCTGAGGAGGCTTGTAACAACCTGCCTTTAGTGCTCAAGAGCTCAGTCCCCGCTGCCCGGACAGGTGTGGAGCCCATGATCTCTGTTACTTTCCGGTAGTGTGCAGCATTCCCTCCTACTGCAAGCCCCAGTCCGAGGACCCTATACCCCTCGAAGGTCCATACAGCTCCGACTAAGACGCAACGAACAGATAGAACGTGATCCGTTCGTAGGTATGTGACACCTGTTATAGTGCACTGAGCAGTCACCTGTACAGCCAGGGATGAATAAGACCACCTCTGACTGATATACGCACAACCCACAGTCACCACTACTCCGTGGAGATTCCTAACGTCCCAACTACAACGCACACACCCATCGCATTCCTATCCCACAGGGGCAGGGGGTGCTTAATAAGTTCTAAATCACACTAAGATTAGGTCCTTCCGCACTCCAGGGAAGCATACAATGACACCACCTACAACAGAGGTGAGGCTGGAAGTGCTATATGTTACCAAGTATCCTCCACCCTTATTTTATTTAACAAACACTTCCGTAGCACTTACTATGTACCCGGGCTTTGTACTAAGTGCTTAGCAAATATTCAGTTAATTCCAGCAACTGTTAGTTGTTACAAGTATCCCCGTTTTACAGGTGGAGAAACTGAGGCACAGAGAAATAAATAAGTTTGCCCAAGATCACATAGCTAGTCGGTGGCAGAGCCCACATTCAATCGCAGGCAGTCCGGCTCCAGATCCCATGTTCTTAACTTCCTTTCTTCTTAACAGCACTAAGCATCTCCAGAATAATAATGATGGTAATAAATAACATTTAGAGAATATCTGGTTATTCATATGCCACTTTATGTTTGGTTTCTGTACCCCTAGACACAAATCAGCAGTGCCCCAAGAAGACAAAGTGACTGAGAATATAGAACTCATGTCAATGTGTTTCCCTCCTTCCAGGGCTCTTGGACCCTCAAGATGTGGGTAAGGCCCACATCTTGGCCTGACCTCACCTGTGACAGGGAAAACTCAGCCACTCCTACTCTTGGTGTAGGTGAAGGGAGAGAAGAGAAACAGACAGTGAAAGAGGAAAAAGGATCCAGGGTCATCCAAAACCCAGGTGGGTAACTTCCTTTGCCACCTCAGGCACACTCTCCTATATGGCATCCTTCACCAATTCTTCTCAGTCTCCAGAGCAGATGCTCTTAGGTCAATATTCTCAACATCTTGTTCTCAACACTACCTGATCTAGGCTGAATAAAATAATGTGTAAACATTTTTCACAAAATAATGTCTGCAAAAAAAAAAAAAGTTAATTACTGCATATTTCAAAGTTGAAATCCCGTTTAAAGGAAATTTCCATCATGATGGATTTTTTTAAATGAGGTAGGCTTCCAGCTATGATGGAGTAGAGCTTGTTGAACAAACTAACTCTTCCGCTAAGAACTGTAAAAGCTGTTGTTGTTGTTGTTTTTTTTTTAAGGGAAAAAAAAAAAAAAACACTTTAAAGCTGTTAGAGAGCGAAGTCAGCCAAAGTTTGAGAGTCCAAAACCCAGGAAGAAGGAAAACACATTGAAGTGAGTTCTGTATTCCCATATTGTCAACCACTCTTCCTTCTTGGGACATTGTTGATTTGTGTCAAGGAGTGTAGAAGCCAAACAGAAAGTAGCATCCTGGAGCTGTGGCAGTCTCATTGGGCTGGAGATTTCTTTAAAAAAAAAAAAAAAAAAAGTACGCTATGTCTATCAACACAGCTAGGACTTGAGGGACCAAGATCCCAGAGAATAGGCAATCACAGAAAAAGGAGCCAGTCACTCTATATCCCATTTCCCCTCAAAGCATGTCCTGATTCCTAACCTGTATATGCAAGAACAAGAAGTCAAGAAAACAAGAAGAAAGCAGCTGCAGAGAGAGAGAAAAAAAAAATCTAACCAGAAATTGTAGACAGTCTCATGATACTGGGAAAGAATTAAATGGGAAAGAGGATCCCTGGTAACCTCCCGTCCCCCAGGCCTCAGGCTTTCAGTTGAGACCCTTGAAGAACTATACCTTGGGAGTAAAGGCAGATAAGAAATAGCCCTCACAATGCCTGAAACACAGCTTTGAACTATCTTAGTCCCTGCTTGGATCAAGGTGATCTTCCCATGTTCTATCTGCCTACTTGAAAAAAAAAAATTAAGTTCTCATTGGTGGAAGAGGCTTTATAATTTTTTGTATCCCATGTCTGGCATTCCATCAACAGTTACCAAATATGCCAAAAATAAGAACTAACTTAACTTAAAGCCAAGAGGAAACAAAAAGACAATAGAAACAGATGCACACATGATTCAGATATTATAGTTATTAGGCTTCAGAATAGCTATGCTTAATATGTTCCAAAAAATAGATAACAGGATAGAGACTGCCACTAGGGAAATAGAACCTTTAAAAAAGAATCAAATAGCTTTTTCCTCTTCCCGTAAGCAGCCTGAGGTGACCTCACAAAATGGTTCAATACTCACTTGACCCAGAAAACCCCACAAAATCATGCAAATCAAGAAGTTCAAATCTTTGGGTCCATTTTAAGAACACCCATGAAACTGCCCAGGCCATCTAAGGTAGTGTATATCTGAAAAGCCACCAAGTATCTGAAAGATGTCACTTTGCAGAAGCAATGTGTGCTATTCTGACATTACAATGGTGGAGTTGGTAGGTGTGGCCAGGCCAAACAGTGGGGTTGGACACAGGGTCAGGGGCCCAAAAAGAGTGCTGAATTTTTGCTGCACATGCTTACAAATGCAGAGAGTAATGCTGAACTTAAAGGTTTAGATGTAGGTTCTCTGGTCACTGAGCACATCCAGGTGAACAAAGCCCCCAAGATGCGCCGCCGCACTTACAGAGCTCATGGTCAAATTAACGCATACACGAGCTCCCCTTGCTGCATTGAGATGATCCTTACTGAAAAGGAACAAGTTGTTCCTAAACAAGAAGAGGATGTCACACAGAAGAAAAAGATATCCCAGAAGAAACTAAAGAAACAAAACCTTATGGCTCAGGAGTAAATTCAGCTTAAAATGCAAATAAAAGTAAAAAAATAAAAAAGAATCAAAGAAAGTCATCAGGAAAATACAAATCAGAACCACAATGAGATACTACTACATACCCACTAGAATAGCTATAATCAAAAAAACAGATAATAGCAAGTGTTGGTGAGGATGTGGAGAAATTGAAACCTTCATACACTGTTAATGGCATTGTAAGATGGTGCAGCCACTTTGCAAAAGAGACTGGCAGTTACTCAAAACGTTAGAGTTACCATATGACCCAGAAAATTTTTTCTTAGGTATATTCACAAGAGAAATGAAAACATATGTCCACACAAAAACTTGTACATGAATGTTCATAGCAGCATTATTCATAATAGACAAAAAATGGAAACAACCAAATGTCCATCAACAGATGTATGGATAAACAAAATTGGTCTGTACATACAATAGAATATTATTTGGCCACAAAAAGGAATGAAGTTCTGATACATGCTATGACATGGATGAACCTGGAAAATATAATATTATTCGAAGTAGGATATGTATGATAAGTTACATACTGTAAACTCTAGCAAATACAACAAAAAGGAATAGCTAAAAAATCAATAGTGGAGATAAAATGGAAGGCAGAATGAAATGGAAGAGGGCTAGAAAAGAGGAACAAAGATATACAGAACAAATGGAAAAGAAGTAAAATGGTTGTATCCCTTGAGTCCAATCAGAAGAGAGAAATTACACACTAATTTGAACTGGGAATGCTTAATATAAAGACTTATTAACTGTAACAGGTTTGCAGTAATGAGGAATTGACCTGTAGGAAGTAAAGAGAACACTAAAGAAAATAAAAATAGCAGATATAGGGAATACCCTAATGGGCTGAGGTAGAGCCCCCAAGGAAGAGAAATTCCTCCCCCCAACTAAGACACAGACCTTTTGGAAAGGGCATGGCTGTGGCTTACTAAATGGCAAAGAAGACACTATGGTGCTGTGCAATGGAACTTAACTGAAACTCTACCCTCTGGAATCTGTGCTCTAGAGTACAAGGGAAAGCTGTTCACAGGGAGGTGTTTTACAGGACAAACTCCACTGCAGAATGATCTGAGAAAGTGGTGTGGGTTGAATTGTGTCTCCCAGATCTGTTTTCACAGAGCAGGCAAAAAGGATAAATTTGGAGCTAAGAGGCAATAAATAGATAACTGATACAATGTTATATTTAAACTTAATTGTCTTAGTTATCTAGTGCTGCTATAACAGAAATACCACAAGTGAGTGGCTTTAATAAACATAAATTTGTTTCCTCACAATTAGAAGGCTACAAGTCCAAACTCAGGGTGATGGCTCTAGGGAAAGCTTTCTCTCTCTGTCAGCTCTGGAGAACGTTCCTCATCTCTTCTGAGCTTCTGCTCTTGGGCAGTCTTCATGTGGCTTGGCATCTCTCTTCCCTCATCTCTTCTTCCTTCACTGGCTTGTTTAATCTCTATATCTCAAAAGAGATTGAATTAAGATACACCCTACACTAATTCTGTCTTGTTAGCATAACAAAGACAACCCATTCCCAAATGTGATTATAACCACAGGCATA